TAAACAATACAGTAATGTGTAATTTAAGGGCATTTAGATAAACAATACAGTAATGTGTAATTTAAGGGCATTTAGATAAACAATACAGTAATGTGTAATTTAAGGGCATTTAGATAAACAATACAGTAAATGGTAATTTTAAGGGCATTTGATAAACAATACAGTAATGTGTAATTTAAGGGCATTTAGATAAACATACAGTAATGTGTAATTTAAGGGCATTTAGATAAACAATACAGTAATGTGTAATTTAAGGGCATTTAATACAGTAATGTGAATTTAAGGGCATTTAGATAAACAATTCAGTAATGTTTTAAGGGCATTTAGATAAACAATTCAGTAATGTGTAATTTAAGGGCATTTGATAAACAATACAGTAATGTGGTAATTTAGGGCATTAGATAAACAATACAGTAATGTGTAATTTAAGGGCATTTAGATAAACAATACAGTAAGTAATGCCCCATACAGTAATGTGTAATTTAATTTAAATACAGTAATGTGTAATTTAAGGGCATTTTAAATAAACAATATTTAGTAATGTGTAATTTAAGGGCATTTAGATAAACAATACAACAATACAGTGATGTGTAATTTAAGGGCATTTAAATAAACAATACAGTAATGTGTAATTTAAGGGCATTTAATAATAAACAATACAGTAATGTGTAATTTAAGGGCATTTAGATAAACAATACAGTAATGTGTAATTTAAGGGCATTTAGAAAAACAATACAGTAATGTGTAATTTAAGGGCATTTAGATAATACAATTTAAGGGCATTTAGATAAACAAATACAGTAATGTGTAATTTAAGGGCATTTAGATAAAACAATACAGTAATGTGATTTAAGGGCATTTAGATAAACAATACAGTAATGTGTAATTTAAGGGCATTTAGATAAACAATACAGTAATGTGTAATTTAAGGCATTTAGATAAACAACAGTAATGTGTAATTTAAGGGCATTTAGATAAACAATACAGTAATGTGTAATTTAAGGGCATTTAGATAAACAATACAGTAATGTGTAATTTAAGGGCATTAGATAAACAATACAGTAATGTGTAATTTAAGGCATTTATAAACAATACAGTAATGTGTAATTTAAGGGCATTTAGATAAACAATACAGTAATGTGTAATTTAAGGGCATTTAGATAAACAATACAGTAATGTGTAATTTAAGGGCATTTAGATAAACAATACAGTAATGTGTAATTTAAGGCATTTAGAATAAACAATACAGTAATGTGTAATTTAAGGGCATTTAGATAAACAATACAGTAATGTGTAATTTAAGGGCAGATAAACAATTGTAGATAAACAATACAGTAATGTGTAATTTAAGGGCATTTAGATAAACAATACAGTAATGTGTAATTTAAGGCATTTAGATAAACAATACAGTAATGTGTAATTTAAGGGCATTTAGATAAACAATACAGTAATGTGTAATTTAAGGGCATTTAGATAAACAATACAGTAATGTGTAATTTAAGGGCATTTAGATAAACAATACAGTAATGTGTAATTTTTAAGGAGCATTTAGATAAACAATACAGTAATGTGTAATTTAAGGGCATTTAGATAAACAATACAGTAATGTGTAATTTAAGGGCATTTAGATAAACAATACAGTAATGTGTAATTTAAGGGCATTTAGATAAACAACAGTAATGTTAATTTAACATTTAGATAAACAAAGTAATGTGTAATTTAAGGAGCATTTAGATAAACAATACAGTAATGTGTAATTTAAGGCAGATAAACAATACAGTAATGTGTAATTTAAGGCATTTTACAGTAATGTGTAATTTAAGAGCGATTAATGTGTTAATTTACAGTAATGTGTAATTTAAGGGCATTTAGATAAACAATACAGTAATGTGTAATTTGAGAGAGTGTTTACGGTCCTACGGTTAATATGAATATGAATTGTAGAGAAAATCTGAGCAGCCATTTATGAAGAAACGTGGCTCTGTTTTATAACCTGTTTGTTTTCTGTTCGACTCCGAGCCGAATCCTGCTGTGAAAATGGCGCGAGGTTTGATATGGATATTGCGGCATTGTCGTTTGGCGTCATGAATTATGCGGGACTGCTGCACGGTTGTCTCGCTCGTTGCAAGGATGTGTGTGTGTGAGTTTGTTGTGAGTTTTTTGTCTGTGTGTGTGTGTCATCGCCCTTCCTCGCGGGATATGAGCGCCTTGTTCGGGTGTGGAGTGCGCGCCCTCTGTCAGGTTAGCCGTTCCTCCGGTCGAAACGGTCTGGCCATTACCATAAGCAATTAACCTGTCACAGGTGTGTCCCGAGGATAATTTACACAGACCCTAGAAGCACCGTAAAGAATGATCATGAGTAATATAAGAGGCACGAGTTATGTAAACAGGTTGAGCCAATCACGGGGGCCCCTTCCAGCGCGCGCCGACCAATCAGCGGCCGCCAAATGTGCTGAGTCGGGCCCGCCGGGACTCGGTGACCCCCAGTTATCGCTCATCACGCATAACGGCAGGACGTGGTTTCTTGTCCTCCGCGTCCTTCGCTCCATGCCTTTTGATAGCGTGATCGAAAACATGATTGGCCTTGAATTGCTTTTGAAATCTGTTTGCCTTTATTTAGCGTTGATTATTATGGTTAGGTTACTTTGGCATTTGGTTTCTGTTGTCCAGGTGTTCTTGTTTTTGTTTTGTCTGTCTCATTCGTGTTTATTACATTTGCTTGATTATTCTTTACTGTTTTTTTTTTTTTTTTGTTCATTGAGGTGGCTTTCGTCTACAGATCCTCCATATATGGTGATAATGAGTATGAGCGCCAATGAGAGTTTTATACCACTTTTTCCGACTCGAAGCTCAGTTGAGTCGTGTCTGAGTCATCGTCTGTGTATTCTTTATGCAGATTTGTTCCGAATGGTTAAAGTGGGTTTACTGTGTCAGCGAAGTTTTGTTGTTTTTTAGGGGCCAGCGTGTCTCCCCCATCGACTGTGAACCTAGGTCGCCATTCGACACCACGACAGACTGACTCCCTTATCAATTCCTTTTTTGGGGTCGATTGGCTCATCGGATTTCGTCCTTATCGCCGGTGTGTGTACCCTATGGTGCTCTTTTATTGGTTCGAGCGTGGTTCAGGTGTGGTTCGGTTGCTGCCCAAGATTTAGGTGAAGGCGGGTTACACAAGCCACGACGTCCAAGTGTTGGGTGAGAACCGTCCGGGTGTCTTGTCTTCTCGCTGATGGTCGGAAATCTGAGGGGAAAAGGTCGAAGGCCGATTTTCTCACTGAGATAAAACAGCGGCAGGACAGGAACAAACGCCACGTGTACATAGGGACACGCCGGCCAAAGTTAATCATTCTCCAATTAAGATTAAATACCGTGAGGGCAAATTTCTCTTGTTTTCTTTCCCTCCCTCAGCCAGAAATCGAGATTATGATTTTCTAATAATATCAAGAACATAAGGTTTGACAAATGACAAACCAATAATAATTCTAAGATCAGATGCTGGTTAAAGTGAAATGGGGAACCCTTGTTGAACACAAGCACAAACGCAATAACGTTGAACAAAAAATTGAAAACGAAACTAGCCACAATGAGAACAGAAAATGATCGTAACGTTTCGAACCCTTCACGAGATCCTCTTCGGACAAGACCTAAACGGAACCCTTCTTCCCTGCCCTTGGGAGCGCAAGAACAAACCCAAATATTACGAGGAACATGACGAGAACAAATATAACACTTGTCAGAACGCAAAATACCCTTAGGGCCCATACTTTTAAAACCTTCGCCAGGCGAACCTCTGAGTGAGGGAGGCCTTACTTTTAAAACCAACGTTCGCCCAGGCGCTAACATCTTGCATTCCCGCCTAAATGTAGCGCAAATTTGTTTACATCTGCAGTGCACATAACGTAACCTAAACTTAATTATTAACCTTGAGAGAAGACGAAAATGTTGTTTCCGCAATAGTCTCACTTTATACTATAACAAAGGAGTTAAAATTTAACTTTATGCTATAACAAAGAAGTTGAAACTATCTTTATACTATAACAAAATTAACTTGTACTTTATTGCTATACTACACTTTATCCTATAACAAGGGTAACTTTATGGCCCGTACTTTTAAAACCTTTTGCTTTTTTCTCGCGTTTTTTTTCATTCGCCGAAAGCGCTAGATTTATCAGAAATCCAAGATGTTAGCGCCTGGCGATCCCTTTCGTTCGCCAGGCCTGGCGAACACCTGCCTTGGTTTAAAAGTAAGGCCTCCCTCACTCAGATGTTCGCCTGGCGAAGCTTCGCCAGGCGAACGCCAGCATTGGCGAAAGGTTTTAATAGTACTTATTACTATTACTATATCACTTTATACTTTGTTACAAAAAATAACTTTATACTTTAACAAAAGAGTTTTAAAAATTACTATTTTACTATTCTAACTGATATAAGATATTGAACTGTAGGCCTACAAGGGTATCATTAAAGACGCCTCATCAAAGGGCGGTGGAGCACTGCAGCTATGTTTCTATAGCCAAAAGTAAACATGCCGCCATAAAAACACTTCTGGTAACATTTGGGAAAGAACATTATCCCTACAACCAAAATAACAACAACCTAAATCTAAATAAGTCATCTCGGGGTTGGGGGTAGGAATACAGCTGATGTCTTGAGCTCTTGACTGGAACATCGGTCTTGAAAAAAAAAATACGGTATATACGTTATTTCATAATAAATTATGATTTTAAGATATTTTAGAATTACAATGTGATTCCTACATCATATCATACACAATATGTTTTCTAATTTATAATTTGAAAGCAAGAAAATGGTATTCAAACAGCTCTCGCGCCTTTGCTTCGCCAGGTTATTCCAATATGATCTTTCGCCAGGCATGATTTTAAAAGTACGAAATTCCGGATCGCCCGGCGAAACCTTTCGCCAGCCCTGGCGAAAGGTTTTAAAAGTACGGGCCTTAAACACACACACTAACCCACGCCGTGTTTCTCTCTCTCCTGCAGGCTACCGACCCAGGATCAAGCAGGGCAAGGAGACCTGGGGCTACGTGAGCGTTCGCGAGGGCGCCCACATGTTCTTCTGGCTCTACTACACCACGGCCGACGTCGACTACAAGCAGCGCCCTTTGGTCATCTGGCTGCAGGGCGGCCCGGGCGGCTCCTCCACCGGCGTCGGGAACTTCCTGGAGATCGGCCCGCAGGACCCACAGCTCAACAACAGGACCAGCGCTTGGGTGGGTGCGCGGGAGGGGAGAGAGAGGGGGGAGGGGAGGGGAGAGGGAGGAAGAGATGGAGAAGAGAGAGGGGGGGAGTGGATGAGTGGGTGAGAGGGAGGGAGAGAGAGAAAAAAAAAGAGAGGGGGGAGGGAATGAGTGGGTGAAGAGAGAGGGAGGGGAGGAGAGGTGGAGAGAGAGAGAGAGTGAGGAGTGAATGAGTGGGTGAGAGAGAGGGAGAGAGAAAGAGAGAGGGGTGAGAGGTGTGGGGAGTGATTGAGTGGGTGAGAGGGAGGGAGGAGGAAGAAGAGAGGGAGGAGGGAGAGTGGAGAGAGAGAGAGAGAGAGGGAAGGGGAGAGGAGGGAGGGAGAAAGAAGAGAGAGAGAGGAGAAGAAGAAAAGAGAGAGAGAGAGAGGAAGGGGAAGAAAGAGAGAGAGAGATGGAGGGAAAGAAAGAGAGAGAGAGAGATGGAGGGAAGGAGAGAGGAGAGAGGAAGGGAGAGAAAGAGAGGGAGAGGGAGAGGAAGAAGAGAGAGAGACAAGGAGAGGAAAAGAGAGAAAGAGGGGAGAGTAAGAGAGAGAGAGAGAGGCAGGGGAGAGTGTGTGTGTGTGTTAGTAGGGAAAAAAAGTAGATAAATGTAAGGGTAAGAAGTAGATTCACGTCCATTATTATTATCTCCATTAGAAGCACAGCTGTTAATGATTAATGGAATACTCTCCCATGATGATAAATACCTGAAGACGAATTCTTGGTTGACTTCGAAATTGCTTTTTTCATCAAAGATTTAAATAGTAACTTCAAAACCCACACACGCAACAATTTTTGTATTCCATTATTTCATGAATCAAAGTTACTATTTATTTCAGCCTGTGCTATCATTATGATTATTATCTTTATTATTATAGTAGTAGTGATGTTGTTGTTATTATTGTTATTTATGTTATTATTTTTATTGTGTTTTATTATTATTTATTTATTATTGTTATTGTGGTTCTTTTGTTCTTCTTATTCTTATTATTGTAATTATTATTATTGATAATATTAGTCTTGTGAATGTTATTATTATGTTTGTTATTAGTAGTAATAGTGAAGGTCGTAGAGGTGTTAGGTATTGTTTTTTTTCTTTTTCTTTTTTATCTATCATGTGTAAATTGTTTTTTTTCTGTAGTTGATATGATTATTTTCGTGTACCCATAAACAAGATAATGAAGGGTATGGCAGCAATTATAATGCTGATAGCAGCATATATATGATAAGAGTAGCACCCCCCCTCTCTCTCTCTCTCTCTCTCTCTCTCTCCTCTCTCTCTCTCTTCTCTCTCTCTCTCTCTCTCTCTCTCTCTTCTCTCTTCTCTCTCTCTCTCTCTCTCTTCTCTCTCTCTCTCTCTCTCTTCCCTCTCTCTCTCTCTCTCTCTCTCTCTCTCTCCCTCTCTCCTCTCCTCTCTCTCTCCCTCTCTCTCCTCTCTCGTCTCTTCCCTCTCTCTCTCTCTCTCTCTCTCCCTCTCTCTCTCTCTCTCTCTCCCTCTCTCTCTCTCTCTTCCTCTCTCTCTCTCTCTTCCCTCTCTCTCTCTCTCTCTCTCTCTCTCTCTCTCTCTCTCTCTCTCTCTCTCCTCTCTCTCTCTCTCTCTCTCTCTCTCTCTCTCTCTCTCTCTCTCTCTCTCTCTCTCTCTCTCTCTCTCTCTCTCTCTCTCTCTCTCTCTCTCTCTCTCTCTCTCTCCTCTCTCTCTCTCTCTCTCTTCCCCTCTCCCCTTCCCCTCCCCTCCCCTCCCCTCCCCTCCCCATCATCCCTTCCCCCCTTCCCCTCCCCCCCTCATCCCCACCCCCCACCCTCTCATCCCCTTCCTCCCCCTCATAGCTCCCCCATCCATAACCCTGACACTCCCCTCCTTCCCTTCCAGACCAAGGAGGTCAACATCCTCTTTGTGGACAACCCCGTCGGCACGGGATTCAGCTACGTGGACGACGTGAAGCTCCTGACGAGGGAACAACCACCGCCATAGCCGTCGACCTGGTGGAGTTCATGAAGGCTTTTTCAAGAAGGTGAGGCGTCGGGTGGGTGGTGGGGTGCTTGGCTGGGAGAGAGAGGGGGGGGGGAGGGTGGGGCGCTTGGCTGGGAGAGGGAGGGAGAAAGGGAGAGGGAGGATGGGAGGGAAAGGGGGAAAGAGAGGGTGGGTGGAAAGAGAGGGGGAGGCTGGTGGAGTTCATGAAGGGCTTTTTCAAGAAGGTGGGTCGAGTGAGGCGTCGGGTGGGTGGGTGGGGTGCTTAGCTGGGAGAGGGAGGGAGGGAGATGGAGGGTGGAGGGGGGAGGAAGGGAGGGAGAGAGAGGTAGAGGGAGGGAGGGAGAGTGATGAGTGAGAGAGAGAGAGAAGGAGGAAGAGGGAGAGAGGAGAGGGAGGGAGTGAGGAGGGTGGAGGAGGGAGGGGAGAGAGAAGGAAAGGAGATATAGAAATGGAGACTTAGAGGAAAGAGGAAGAGATAGAGAAAGGGGAGGGACTTTTTTTACTTTGACACGTTCATCTGAGACAAAATAAAAATTACATCTAAAAGGATGAGAGTAACCTTAGGTTATCCCACGCCTTACCTTAATAAGTCCCTGGCGGGCTCACAATCCATATACAAAAAACTTACGTATAATAATATTCTAAAGTATAAATACAAACACATAAATTAAAGATAAAGAATTAAAAAATGAAAAGAATTACAAAAGCATTACAAAGAATTCAGAGTCATTGGCTTACATATGTAAGGTGATAGGGAGAGGAAGACGGAGAAGAGGGAGAAGAGAAAGAGATAAGAGAGATAGGAGGAAGGGAGAAGGCTGGGAGAAGGTGAGAATACAAGAAGGGAGCGGGATAAAGAGGGAGCGGGAAATGAGATAGGGGAGAAATGGAGTGTGACGAAGCGCGTGGAGAGGGGGGAAGGGAGAGGCAGAGAGAAAAGAAGAGAGAGAGAAAAAGGAGAGGGTTGAGACGAGAGAGGAGTAACCGGGAGCGAGAGGGGACGAGAAGGGGGGGGAACGTTTTTACGCCTTGTGGCCATTAAAACCACCCCTCCATCTCTCTCGATCTTTCATGTCTACCTCTCTCCTTACTCTCTCTCTCGTCTCCTCTCGTCTCTCTCTCATCTCTCACCTCTCTCTCTCTCTCTCCTCATCTCCTCCTCCCTCTCTCTCTCTCTCTCGTCTCTCTCCACTCTCCAACCTCCCGTCACTCTCTCCTCATCTCCTCCCTCCTCCCTCCCCCCCTCCCATCCCTCCCCCCTCCCCCTCACGTGTGTGTGTGTGCATCTCATCACTCTATCCTAACAAATCTAAGTCTAATCTAATCTATCTAAATCTCTTAGGGTTCCAAATGCTCTAGGAAGCTTGTGCTGTCCTCCTAACAACCTCGCATTGTGAACGGCTGAAGAATCTGCTCTTATTCATTTTTTCACAACGTTTATTCAGACGTAGATTGAGTTGAATTACGTTCATCATATTATAACTTCCCTTTTGGGTTTCGGTTTTCCACAAGCTCTCTCGCGAAGAATGTTAAAAGAAAATTGTATGTTACGTGAGAATTTACTAGGTTTAGGGGGGAAAAATTTCAAGAAAATGATAAATGGTTGTAAGGCTGGTGTGTATTGGTGGGTAATTTCTATGTACTCGCTGAAATGTAACATAGAGCTATGAGGAAAAGCATCAATATGCTGTGGATGTATACAATCATCAACACTGTAATCTTCTGGTTTCCCTCAAGACAAAGTACGTTAGTCATTTTACGAGAGGACGAGGGAAGGGGTGAGAGAGAGAGAGAGAGGGAAGGGAGAGAAGAGAGAGAGAGTGTAGATATATCTTAGGGGAGAAGAGAGAGAGGAGAGAGAGAGAAGAGGAAGAGAGAGAGAAGAAGAGAGGAAGAGAGAGAGAGAGAGAGGAGAGAGAGAGAGAATGAGAGAGAAGAAAGAGAGAGAATTAGAATTCAGAACTAAACTAGAATTAGAAGTGAGCGCGGAGGCGGGGTAGATGTGTTAGATTAGAATTTGTTCCCATCGGAGAAATGAATGTTGAATAAAAAGAAAGCTCCGAATTCTTTATTGCGCATTTAATTAAAACCAATTGGAAGCGCTGGGTTCAGGAAGTCCGGAGCACCTGTTGGCCTTGGGACAGTGCGCGGCGCCTCCAAAACCAATGGACCCGCCATCGGTGCTTTTATACGTAATGGAAAAGTATATGCAGGCACCACCCAGACCACTTGTGCTGTGAGGGGGAGGCGTCGTGTGTGTTTTGTTGTACTAAGGTTTTACTTTGTTTTTTTTTCTTTCATTTTGATTCGTTTTTTTGGGATAATACTGTTGAATCTATTTTTCCCGTCTTTTTTCACGTTAGGTCTACTCTCTTTATTTTATTTATTTACTGTATTTTTTTATTTTTTTTTTAATTTGTTTAAAAGGTATTTTTTCTCTCTTTCCATATCTTCGTTCCCATTTCTGACCTGTATTTAAATGTGGAGGGCGGTGAAAGTTCCTTCTTTCCTCCCTCCATTATTATTGCTCTTTCTAACAAGTTTTACAGTTTGTTTCCTCGCTTTTTTTTTCACACCAGAATTCTGCTATTTGCTCTCATCTTCCAATTCAACTTCTTTCTTCTATGCTGATAGGGCCTACTTGCCTCCCCCAACCTTTTTCCTTATATTATCCTAATCTTATGAATTATTGTTCCGCGTCTTTTTTCACGTTAGCGTTTACTCTCTTTAATTTTGAATTTTATTACTGTATTTTTTATTTTTTATAATCTATTTATTGTATTTTTTTCTCTCTTCCACATTTTCTTCTTCCCTTTTACTGTATTTGTGGAGGGGGTGAAGTTTCCTTCTTCCTCCCTCCATTATTTTGCTCTTTCCAACAAGTTTTACGTTTGTTTCCCGCGTTTTTTTTCACCAGATTCTTGCATTTCCTTTTTTTTCACCAGATTTTTGCATTCTCTCTCTTCACTTCCTTTCTTCTAGCTATAGGCCTACTTGCCTCCCCCAACCTTTTTCCTTATTTATCCTAATTTATCTCCTAAATTTATCCTATTTTCCGCCTCTTCATTCCGCCCATCGCCTATTCCCCTTCGCTCACTATCCTCTCTGGTTCTCTCAATTCTCTCAATTCATGTCATAAGCAGAATTCAATAGCCTTCAGCATTTTGTCCCAACGTCAGCGAATCTTCCCTGACATTGATGAATTCCAGCTATCTTTTCAGTATTGATAATCATCCTCTGAACAATAATTGCCTGAAATCTTTTTTTCAGTATTGATAATCATCCCTGAACAATAGTGATGAATCTTTTTTCAAGTATTGATAATCGTCCCTAACAATGGATGATCGAATTCCTTGAATCTTTCTTCAGTATTGATAAAATTCATGCCCTGAACAATAGTGATGCAAATTGGCCTGATATTTTTTAATCTTTTTCACTATTGGAATAATCTTCCCCCATGAACAAATAAGTGGATGAATTCCTGTAAATCCTTTGATGTCGCCAGTATGATAACTTGAACCGTATTCATGGTTGACAAATGTGAAAGGTATGAATGAAACGATACATCCCATTCACAATACAAACGAGATTGTTTTAAACACCGGTTTTGATTAATATCTTCGTCAGAAATACATGTATTTCTGACGAAGACTAATATCGAAACGAGTTAAATCCACTCTCTTGTATTGTGAAGATAATTCGTTCATCATTCATACCTTTCCACAATTGATAATCTTCCCCTTGAACAATAGTGA